GGGGCGGACGGGTTTCCCTCTGCTTTCTCCAGAGCAAGAAGCACGCCAACAAGGTGAGGCGGTACCTGTCCATCCACGGCGGAGAGGAGCTTTCCCACGGGAAGAGGATGAGGCTGGATGCAAAGCAGGTGAGAGGAGAACGTAGAGCTCTTCGGGTCTAAATCCTGCCGAGCGGGACCGCCTGGGCTAAAGGCTGCCGGGTGGCCTGGGCGCCTCTGTGAATAAATGGAGACGATGCTCTCGGAAAGGGCATTGGGAGAACTGAAGAGCTCGATGGCAGGTGTGTCACTAGGTTCCCTTGTCTTGGGAAGCACAGTTCCTGCTGCCCTTCCCGTTTAAACAGCCTCTGTGAGTATGTCTTCCCCATTTAAACTAACGCGCGTTGCCTTTTATTGACAGCCATGCTTGAAAAGACAGGGAAAAGTGAATAGGAGCAGCAACTTGTCCAGAATATCATTGCAGAACCTTTACTGTCACAGAGAGCACATTAGGTTGACCAGCTACTGGAATTCCCTTTCAAGGGCAATCCTTTTTGTACTTATTTAGGTTTCCTCAACCAGTAGCTGGAGCCTGTTGGTCAGTAAAGGCACCATGTTCCGCTCGGCCATCTGTCTGCCCGGCAACTCATTTGGGAAACAGATTCTACTTTTATGATTGCTTCACCTTTAATCCCTAGCTCTCCGACATTTGCAGTGGGAGGGGAGGGGGGGATAAAGGCGGATGCCTTCGCACATAGTGTTAGGCTTAGAAACGACTGCTGCGGCGCTGGCATCGCGTTGCAGATGACCCAGCTGATAATGATGTTTGCGTTGTTCACTTCACACCTTGCAGAGTAAAAGGCTGCCTGTTCCAGTTCAGGCTGACACTCTGTTAACCTTGTCCTTAACCCACACAGGCCAGGGCTGCCCCTCCGCCTGCAGCAGTTCACTAACAGGTTAGAAAAAGCCACCTAGTGCAAGAGCACTCTCTAATGAAGGAGAGGATGGCGCTGTATCATGGAAGTCCTACTCAGTCACACTTCTTCAGCTTAACACCCAAATGTCTTACCTTGTTTTCTTAGACTTCCAAGCCGCAGTGTTTCTCCTCGTAACGAGGAGGCTGGACGAGGTGACCTGCAGAGGTCCCTCCCAACCTCAGCCACTCTGTGATTCTGTGTGCACAGGACAGCAAGCAGGAAGGCAGCAGCGGGGAAGACAGAAACAAGTGTTGTCCCATCTGCAACATGACCTTTTCCTCTCCAGCCGTGGCAACATCTCACTACTTGGGCAAGACTCATGCCAAGAACATGAAGCAGCAGTCGCCCAAGGCAGAAGGTATGACTCTGCAGCACGTGCGTGTTGTACCAAGGGGCTGTTCAAGCAATAAAAAAGTTGAGAGATTCATTAGACCCCGATTGTAAGCTCTCGTTGAGGATGTGTGTGCTTTTTACTGTGAAACAGAGTAAGCCACCAGTGCACTGCCACAGGCATGGCCTCTCTCGTTGTACCCATCCCTGTGTGCAGGGACCAGGAGAGAGCCGCTCCTCAGGGAGCGTGATGTTAAGCTGTGGAAATGCCCATCAGAGGATACGATGCTCACTAAAAGCTTACCAGGTCTGAAGTGAGTGGTGAAACTCTGATACGGCAGTTCATCAGGGTTGCTCAGCTGCAGAGATGTAGCCTCTGAGGTTCAGGGACTTGTGAGCTGCAGATAGCTAGGGACTGGGGCAGTGTAGCTGGAAAGCATCAGTATATGCTTGTCCTGGCCTTGTGCTTTTCCCATGGCACCTGCTGTTGACTGCGCCCATGATGGGATACGGTCCAGGCAGACCTGTGGTCTGACCCAGCGCAGCTGCCTGCATGTCCCATCCCTTTGCTAGTAGGCGGAAAGGCCCAGTAGGTGGAGACCCTGTACAGGGAGAGCAGGGGCAGCCGAGAGCCTGGGGTGCTGTAGCTGGTCAGGACAGAGGGAAAACAGAGCCTTTAAGTGCACCTGAGGATGGCACCTTGTGCTAGCTTTGAGCTGGGATCTTCCAGACAGAAACTGCTTGTCCTGGAGTGTCTTCATGGCTTTGACAGGTTGTGTCTGCACAGTGAAGCCACCTCGGGGGTCAGGGTGGCCCGTAGGTTATTTTTGTTCTTTGAAGCCCTTGCTTTTGTGTATAAGAAGACCCTTCAGGAAAGGGCGGATGTACGCATAAGCGATCTGGTGTGTAGCTTCTATTTTGGCACGAGAGGAGCTCTCTGGTCCTTAGAAGGTTTCTTGCTCTGGTCTTTGGTACCCTGTAATGAGAGGGTGCGGATTTTTCCATCAGATAGGAGAACTGCGGTTTCACTCCATTGGACCTAGTCCTGTTCATGCTATTTCTTAGGCACAACTCATTGTGACTTCAGTTCAGGATCAAGTGTTTCCAGAAACCCACCTGCCTTTGCTGCACCAGGGCTTGTACTCGTGTTCTAGCTGCCTCCCTCTTTCTTTTCCTGGATGATGATAATAGCAAGTGGAAGCTCATTCATGTCCAGTGTTTCTTACGCTTATGTTAACTTCACTACGCAAATCTGTTTGGTGTTTTTTTAACTCTGAAAGTTTTTCTGGCCTACTCTGACTTGTCTTACCACATGGCTTTCAATTCTGAAGTGTTAAGGGAAGAGGTAGGAGCAACATGAATTTATTTAAATGTCTTACATTCTCTGTCTAGGTTTGGGGTTTAGGTGTGGTGTTTGTTTTTTTTTTTTTAATAAAATTAGAAGGTTTTAAGGAAATAAAATGACTGGTTTTTACCTCTGAGTTCTGTGACTGACCAAGAGTTTGGATTCACCCTACAGAAGCAGTGCCCCCACAGAAACATCCTGCTACCCTCCCCACCTCCACTGTGTCTTCTAACGAAGAGAACAAGGACGTTACTGACCCAGACAAGTTCTGTAGCCTCTGCCATGCCACTTTCAACAACCCCCTTATGGCAAAACAGCACTATGTAGGCAAGAAGCACAGAAAGCAGGAGACCAAACACAAGCTGATGGCACACTATGGCCGAACCCCTGATGCATCAGCATCGTCCTTCATGGGTGAGTTCTCAACAGGCAGGCTAATAAATAGCTGAAGAGCAGGGTGGGAGAGCGACGGTGTGTCTGACAGGTCTTTGGACAAGACAGTCCATGCAGAGGGAGCAGGGGAGAATTGCTCATGGTGAGGATCTTGATCATACACCATAAGATTGATTTGGTTGATTTTGTAGCCCCCTGGCAGCGCAAGAGTTTTTAGACTGTAGCTACTCGTGACAAGGTTTGGGTTGTGTTTTGCAATGTTGTCTAATCGGGGACGTGTCCTTTTTATTCTCTGTGTGGATAATCCAGGGATTTTGGCCAGTACTGTTTCTAGCTAGGTGGATTGCATCCAAAATGGAAAGATAAAAGTGGCATTTGGTGCTTAAAAAACATTTTCGGAGGGGACTAGCCAAAGATGGAAGAAATAGGTTTAACTGCACCTGCTGCTTCAAAGCGCATGAAAGCCAGGGAGACTTCTCCTGAATGCCTTTCTGCCTCCGTGTGAGCACATCCATCTGATGAATTAATGCAACTCTCTCTGGAGCAAGCAGGAATTGGCAGGGGGGAGGGAGCTATTAAGGAGGAACTTTAGGCAGACAGTTAAAACTCGTTTGGTTTATGATCTGCTGCTTATGAGCACTTCTACGTGATGAAAGCCCTTGGAGTCCAGTGAAAGCAGTAGGAGCTCAGTAAACTCCCTTGTTCCTCTCAACAGCCTTCTGTTGGACCAGGAGGTCTCATACCTGCTGGATACTTGAGGTAAATAATAAGCAGACAAATCATCTTAAATCTTCTTCAAGGGCTTCTTTCTCTGTTGTAAAAACCCACACAAGCAGAAGATTAATTATTGTAATTCTTTGCAGGCCACCTTTAGACACCGGTAGCACTTAGGAGAAATGAGGCTCAATTATGCAAGCAATATTCTCTCCCACATTGCGTAGTTGTGTGGGAGATGGAAAAGGTGCTTGGTATCTAGCATTACCCATCTGCTCTTTACCTAATTAGTGGGGCCTGGTGAATGGTTCCACTTCAGTGTGACTCAGGCACCGACAGTGGCAGAAGCCCCAGCCCAGGCAGGCTGGGTAGGTGGGCAGTGCCCTTGCCTGTGTGAGTGATGTCTCCTGTGAAGCGCCAGCGGAACTGGAGTTGCTATGGATGCATCTCCATGCTGTTCAGGCGAGGTTTAGGGAGCCTGGGCTGTAATCAAGGGCTGCTCGGATGTGATGGGCTGCAGTCAGGGATGTTTTCTCCTGCTCTCTGTACTCATCTCTAACAGCCATGCCTGTCCCTAAACTTCTCTCTGCTGGGTCGTGTCTGGCAGCAGGTGAAGATGCATTCTTTGCAGCACAACACAGAGGTGTTTGTTTGCTTAAAGATCCTCTAGGAACCACCCGTTTGGGGTGCAGGAGTGCAGTTTGGACAACTTCGTGCACACACCTCTTTGCTGGGTTTGCAACAGAGAGATCTTGATCTCAGCCATGCAGAGAGGCAGACCTGAGGGCTATAACAGCTCCTCTGGCCTTTCCCACCAGGCTGTAGCTCTGTTTTGGGAGTTGAATGTCCCACTAGAGTCTGAGATCTGTCTGAGGTGCTGCAGCCAGGTGCCGAAACGCCTGCTACAACGTGTTGTGCTTCTCACCCATGTGTGCTTATCACCAACACGTCATTACGTTGCTCTGCACCCCTGGGGTGAGTCTCCTCTTCCATCTTATGGAAACGGGGAAACATTTTCTTTGTGAGACTCTCAGGCAGAGCCCTTTTCCAGCAAGCCAAAATTCAGGAGTGCTTAATGTCTTGAGGACAACTGCCAGGATTTTACCTTCTTAGAGACTCCTGTGCTGAACTGTGCTGCCACACTTGCCTGTTTGGTATCTGTGACCTCCCGAACTTTCATTCCAGCTGGAGTTGTTGCGTTACAGAAAACCGTTGATCTGTCTAGTACAACTATTGTTGGAAGCTTTTTTTTTTTGCAGTTAACTGATATGCTGGCTATAACCAAACTGCTTGAGGATAGAGCTTAATATTCTCAGTTCGCACCTCAGCAAGGCTTAGCAGAATGCTGCTTGTTGGAACTGGACATTTTGTGTAATCTCCTCTGGCTGCTTTTTTTTATTGAAACAGTTTAAGCTCACAAATTAAGTGTCTTCGTTGTTTTCTGTTATGGGATTTACATATCAGGAGAAGTGGGAATTTGGGAAAGAAATGGAGTTGCAGTGTAGCATCAGGTTTGGTATTCTAATGCTGAGACTTTTACTGTGTCTGATATTGCGAACTGTTTATAGGAATCATGTCCTTTTTTTAAGAGATAAACAGACCCATGCTCTGACCAGGAAAGCTCTTCTGGCTGAGCGATACCCTCACAGGAACTGGCCAATACATGGTGGGGTAGTGGGATTCTGCGGCCTCGCTGCCTGGTCAGGCTGTTGGCTTGCTATTTGTCTTTGTTTAGCGGTTGTTTAACACATCAAGTGATTGATTATCTCACTTGTTTCTACCTCAGGCACCAAGTTGTTGGCTAGCTGTGTGTGCTAACATTGATGTCTGTTTCAGCTGGGAAGGGGTACCCCTGCAGCACGTGTAACATAGTACTGAACTCCATAGAGCAGTACCAAGCTCACATCAGTGGCTTCAAACACAAGAATCAGTAAGTAACGTTCTTGTCTGAGTGTGTTTCCAGCCTCGCTGTTCAAATCGATGGCTTACATGTAATTTAAAATGCAGTTTGGAATGCGTATTTCCAGCTGACTTGCAAGCAGAAAAACAGGGGTTGTACAAGCTTGCTCTGTTTGTCCGGAAGCGAATTCACTTCTGCAGCTCCCTCTGCAGACAGCTCTGCGATGCTGCTGAAGTAGAAGGGCCCTGCAGCTGCTTTTGGTTCTTGATGGTTCAGCTCCTTGTGGACCTTTGCAGTCGGTGCATCCAGCCTGACACCCATTAAACACCGTTTCTCTAAGAACTGAGATTTCAGTTTAATTAAAGACTGGCTCAGTGGAGATCCGCTTGCCATTCTAATCTCTCCTGGGGTTGCTTGTCTTAAAATTTGGCATGTAGTCAGCACGCTCCAGAAACCCAGACTGTATTCCTGAACTCGCTCTCAGGGTGAGTTGGTGAGTTAAATAATGGCATCCCCTGCATATATTATTAATCCAAAACATTTAGGCTGCCAGATGATTAATACCAAAAATACTTGTTCTGGACACTGTCAAAGTTCAGATCTCTAATTTCAAAGCCTTTGCTAAAAGAGGCTCAGTAATGAGCATGGGTTGGTTAGACAGCTTCTTACAAGAAAGAGGTATTAGGAATCCCTACCTGAAGTGAGGACAGACTCCTAGCCAAATTCCCCTGAGAGGACAGGAGGAAAACTGGGATCTCTTGTTGCCTATCTGCGGAATAACAGCCCTGGAAAGTTTCAGTTCTTGAACAGCACAGCCAGATCAGTAAATAGCAAGCATCCCATTCTAGAATGATAACACTGAGGATGTTCCCAGCACACACGGATCAATGTTCCCTTTAAAGGACATGGATGTTGTCCGAGTTTTTGCAGCCACACAACTCCCTTTCAGACAGCTGCTCCTCGATTCAGCCATTCAGTCTGTTCCAGGCCAGCAGTCTGAAGAGAGCCAGGATACTTGCTTTGTAATGGAAGCTCTTTAACAGTCCTTGAGCTGTGCAATAGCTAATTCTGCCATGCTAAATGTGTCTGTTTACACGCACACGGAGGGCAAGGATGCACTTGGAAGCTTTTCTGGCAAGTTGACTTGGCTACAGTAGGCTGTTGCTCCACTGACAGCCATGCCTGCTGAGCAGTGATTGCAGCTGGCAGATTTCAGATCACTTCTGACATTCTCCTTTTTTTCCTTCTCTTCCTCTTGCTCTTTTCTATGTCCAGGATGCCAGGAGCAGTGCCAGTTATTGGACCGTTTCCACCACAGCAGTATGTCCGGGAAGAGTCAACTGCCCCAGGAGGCTACAGTTATTTCAGCCAAGACTTCTAGACCAAGTTGCAGCACTGTTCTTGGAGTTGTTGGTGGCCCAAGAACGCACATCCTTTGCCAGCCCACAATGGTTTCATTATCCCTCTGGATAAGCAAAGCCCTGCCCTCCTGTATGGACCCGTTGAGCAGAACGGGGACTGAATCTGTCAGAAAAAGGATCCAGCTGGAAGAGACTTGCTAGACAGCAAATACTTCACTCCCTTAGAGTAGTTTTCATTGTGTAATTGCTTCCTGTGAAGGTGGGTGCGGTGTGAGAGGAAGTGTGTATCTGGTATAAGGAGGGTTTGGCAACAGGCTGGTAGTGGCCACCTCCTCCCTCACCAGAGCAAATAATCGATTCCTGCGCCTGGAGGGCCAGCATCCCGTGCTCAGAGGTGGCTTTTGCTGGAGGAGGACTCCTAGACGGTAGCAAGCAGTGCTTATGCAGCATGGATGGGACACGGTGGGGGTTGCCTGGCTTTGTACAGGCCTAAAATAGGAAATAACCAGCATGGCATCTCTTTCCATGCCTCCTCCGGTCAGGTTAGTGTGCAGAATTTCATGAGCCACTGGTTGCCATCAGAGCCTTTCGCGGTACTGCAGCTGATGGTTCTGGAGCTGGGTTTGTGTCTGTCTAACAAGTAGTGACAACTTCTGGTGTGCAACCTGCTGCTGGTAGGAGCAGAGGGCTCTCCAGACAGCTCAGCCCTCTGCCCCAACGATTTCCACGTGGAAGGAAGTAACTGTTTAGCCTGGTTTCCTATGGAAACAGGTCTATGTGATCATTCACCGTGTGTGTCTTTACCCACTGTCACTTCAACCAATCTCAGCCAAACTTTGCAGTGGTGGAGATCTCCAAGATCTGAATGCAGTCAGCAGAGGAAGGTAGAGCAGGGTGAGTTCATCTCTAATTCTGTCAGGGTCTGCATGGAAATGCAGCATTTTCCCTACTGCCACCAAAATACTCTGGGGAAGGAGGGTTTTAAGGGAAAAGAGATGTAATAAATCTAGATGCAGCAGAAAACTGTAGTATAACTTGGTCAAATCGTTAGCTGACTAAAAAGCTACAAATCCTTTGGAAACATGCCTTCGTTAGCCCTTCATTAGACACTACTTGCCCAACCCCTCTCTTCAAAGTTCTTACACATTTGTACCATCCTGGAAAAGGGATGTTCTGTATTTCAAACCCAGAAATTAAGACTGATGGTCTCTTCATGGTGCTAATGTACTAGATCTGTTAGAAAAGGCCCCGGAAGGAAGGGCAGGCATCTGAGACTGCTGTGTGTTTTGGACAAGTTCTTTAGATGTTTTGCCTTAAGCTAAGGCATTGCCTGTTCTCTGCTAGTCCACTACAAGAGCCATGTGCATTGGGCTGGCCTCGTGTTCAGTGCCAGTGCTCCGAGTCGGGCACCCCGCAGCTTTGTCCCAGCACCAGTGTTTCCGTGGAGCTGAGACTTTGCTAGTCCATGGCAAATGTCCTGCTGCTTTTCTTCCATGGGGCAGGATGTGGATGTGGCCCCTCTGAGGGCTTCTCTGGCTGGTGGGGTTCTGCAGGGCTGGCAGGAGCATGGGTGACGGCTGTGGACACACCGCGCTGCCAGGGTGGGCTGAGCCAAGCTGCTGCCTCCTGTTGTGTGACCCCAGCAGCGACTGGAGGGTGGTCTGGGGTCCTGGTGTTGTGTGCCAGGGGAGCAGCTGACGCCTCCGCGGGGTTGAGAGACGGGCTGTAGAGGCACTTCCAAAAGCCGGTGTGCCCATTGGTCAGGTTGAGCAAGGAGAGAGCTGGCTGCTAATCTCAGTGCTTGGAGTGAGTGCCTTTCCTTCCCCACTCCAGGCTGTGCATGAGCTTTGTTTTTCTTCACCCTGCACAGAATCAGCCATCTTCCCTTAGGACAGGCTCCTGCTGGTCTGGGTTCGCCTTCCTAATGTTTTCCAGTCTTGCTCCACTGCTGAGGTCTGACCTTAGTCTCCTGCTACAGAGGGGGTCCTTTTAAACCTTGCAAGCTGATCAATGAGCAGAAAATTGCGATGGACGGAAGGAAGCATTGTGCGCCTGGTAGCCCTGGATGGCATCCAGCTCCGATCTCTGCTGCGTAGCTCTCGTCCCGCTGTACCAGGGCAGGTGCCTGCTAGATGTACTACACATCGACACCAAGAGGGATCCATTTCCAGCACTGCCCAGTCTGGTGTGTCACTCCTGTCTGTGTACTGACAGTTTTGCATTCCCCTGTACACAGTGTTTGTGTATCTGCTGTTTCCCTAAGGTGAAGCTCTCCAAATAGAGTGTTTATTACTAATTTTGGGTGCTGTCTCTCTACTAGAGCCCTTCCTGGGATTTTGCCATGCTTCAAAGCAAAGAACAGGATGCAGACACCTTCGAAATATTTGGGAGGGGCGGGAGGCTTGTGTTTGCATCTGCCCTCCTCGAGGCCCCGTTCTCATCCCACGGCACCCTGGGGTCCAGGTGAAGCTGGTAAGTGCCTTCCTCTGTGCTGCTCTGGCAAGTCAGCGTGGCCTTGGGCACGCAGACGGGACAGTCTGGGCTGGGAGACTGCTGGCACTTCTGCAAGCTGTTGTGCCGAAAACATCTGTGCCTGCTGCAGGATGCTGGGCTGTTTCCTGGCACTGCCGTGGCGGTACAGGAGCAAACATGCTCTGCTGCTGTCCATTCGAGGGCAGCTCGCTTGCAGAGGCGGGCTCGCATGCCCAGGACTGTCCTGCTCCTCCATGGGCAGGGCTACGGCAGAGCTCAGGGGACCAGCATCCATGGGAGTGGTGCAGGGACTCGTGCTGGCACCGAGGGCAGCACTGCTATCGGCCATGCAGGCAGTGCTGGGAGGGACA